ATCACCTCCCTCCACCAGCAAGTCTGGGGCTATATACTTTCCCCGCTGTCTGGCTTTTCTCCTCACCAAAACTTTGCTCCAGGTGCTATCCCCTCCCCTCCCACAACCCAACTATGATACCTTGTCCAAGGCCAGCCCTCCCAAGTCCTTCCCGAGTAGCCACTCACCCGACGACAGTCCCCTCAGCTTCTCGGCCCTTGGACTCATGTGCGGTGCTCTTTGTACCGTGAGTCCCTTTGTACCTGCTCTCCAGCGGTACCAGGAACATAGCTTCCACTGTGATGTGTCCCTAGGTGCCACTGTACAGAACTAATTTAAAACATTTTTTCCATCTAATTGTTTAATATTATCCATCTAATTCTAAATTCTGTTAAGTGTACTTTGGTTTATAGTGTGGGTTAGAAACAAAACTGAGTTCTTGTCAAATGTTAATAGATTGTTAGAGCACTAGTGAGAATATTCCCTTGCCTGTTGACTTGTAATAGTTCTTATTGTATTCTGAATTCTCCGGTACTGGACTGATTGCCTACTTTCTATTCTGTCTCACTGATGTATTTTGCATCAGAAAAACATTATAAATTAGCTTTATCGTATTATTTTTGATACATAGGACTGTTTATCCCTCCCTAGATATAGATTGTTTACCTTACATTTCATACCACTGGTATTTCTAATTATTTAATGTTTCTTATTACTATCGGGAATGTAATTTTTCTATTCTATTTTCTGACTTGTTTTTACTGGCATATTAGAAGGATATTTCTAAAATATATTTATCTCAAATCTGAGCTCTTTATTCTCAATAATTGAAATTTACTTTCTCAATAATGAAAATTTACTTTGCCTTCCTAAATGTTATGTCTGAATTGGCCAGAAATTCCAGAGTGATGTTCATAATGTTAATAGTGGGTATTCTTATTACAAAAAGTAAATCATGGTTAAGGAAGAATGGTGGCTAACTTTCTATTAAAGATAAAGTCACTGTTGAAAACAAATCATTTTAAATGATCCTAGATTAGATTAGATTAATTGCTTTGCAGATGTTTCATGGGTGAGGTGCATCAAGATCCTGGGAGATGTTCATTTCTCCAGAAGGGCCAACATCTCATTAATACTAATTGCTAACTTCAAATGGAGAGGAGCTGGACCTCAGACCTGGATTGCAGTTGGGAGGGGGAAGGCTGCAGGGAGCTAGGGGAGTTAGTCTCTCGAGTCCCCCACTTCACTTCCTTGACAGCAGTTCCTGGGGTGATGACAGGTGGAGTCAGCCTGCTGCAAGGAAGACTGGAACAGAGCTAGAGGTGAGCCTCACTGCCGTTCCCCCAGAGTGAGGGCGGTGGGTAGCCAAGGACATTTGGGAAATTTACCTCCAGGAGACAGTATAGCCGTATTTTTCCTGGAGAGCTTTATCAGATTTTCCGTAAATCCTGTTCAGAGCAACAAGTGGTTGTCAAAGTTCTTACTTTGTGAAATTTAGCTCAGATGAGTTAATGGGGATGGATTTCTCATTCTAGGAGGGTCAGAGGGGATTATCTTGACAGACCTCCCCTACCTGAACAAAGTTCATGGTGGACAAGGGGTTGAATAGCTGCCCTTCCCTCTTCTTATTTATACCATTGGTGCAGAAACCTGAAACTACAAATATGTAGATGGCAACTTAATTTTCTTATGAAAATCACATTTCAGGATTTTTCCTTCCACATTGTCAACTCAGTAGATGTATTTCAGAGCTTTTCATGCATAACAAACCCTTCAAAACGTAGTGACTCTAAACATCAATTATTTATTTAGCTCATAATTTTGCAGGTTGTTAAGTTTAGTCTGAATTTTGGGCAGTTCTATTCTCAGTGTATGAGAACATGTTCTGACCTTATGAGTCCGTGGTCAGCCCTTGGTTGGTTAGGTGGTTCTGCTTCTTGCAGTTGGCTTGTTGGCTGGGGGACCTCTTCACCACTGGCATCTTTTTCTCCAGAAGCCTTGCTTAGATTTTTTTTGTGGCGGTGTGGAGCAGAGGTCAGAGGGACAGAGCTGAAGGAAACAAAGCCTCTTGAGGCTGGATTTGGAATTAGGACACTTGCTTGTGTGTGTTCCATTGGGCAAAAGAAATCACAAGGCAGCTGATGCAAGGAGTAAGAATATAGATTCAACCTCTTGATGAGAGCGGCTATAAAGCGGTGCATTGCAAAAGGGCATGGACATAGGGATGTAAAGAGAATCGGGTCATTGTTTGCTATTGGTCCGATGATTAGATGAATGAAAGACTCAAAAGATGTGCTTAGGACACTTATCTTTTTCGTCAGTGTAGATTTTGATTTTGCTATTATAAAAATTGTATCACCCAGTTCCCTTTTTATCTAGTCTGTTGTCCTTGTATTGGCATTATTTTTCTCTTTATACTATTAACATTTTTTTGGTTCCTTATGTATTTTTACTCAAGCCCATGCCGAATAAAGTTTTTCTGAAATTATCTTTCACTTCCTTATTAAATCTTGTTGAGAGATATGTTCTCTGCATCTTCACAATAGTTCTTTCTCATGTGTGGGAATATTATTACTCATGGGTCTCATCTCGTTTTTTCCTTTTTCTTAGAACATTGTTGGTGTTTGCCAGCAGGGCATGTGGATGCTTCTCACTGTCTGCTTAGATTTGAACAGCCTTCTCAGATCTGCATCTGAAGAATAGGTGGCTGGTTACATGTCTCCCAGTGACTGGCGGGCAGACATTGAATGTGGTTTGGCTAGACTAAACTAGTATCATCTCCTGCCATGCTACATGTACCTGACTTGGGGGCACTTAAAAAAGATGAAGTATATGAAAAAACCACATTTCTTAATGTGTACTACTGAAAGAATTGTTTTCTGTATTTTGCCTTCTCTGCAGATGATCTTATGTGGATATCGAAGCTTCTTTGATGTAGTGAACCAATACTAGTACCCTGGTACCTTCTGACCTGATCTTTAACCTGCAGGGAGAAAAAGGAGGAGAGCTGATAGGACTCTTGTGTCCCACAGAGCAAAGCAGTACTTTGCCTCTTGTGTACTCATCATAAAACTGGGCCAACATTAGTTTGTTTCTAGACTGGGTTTCTAGGACGTACAGATAATGAAAGTGTCTGAGGTTTCTCATCAGAGGTGAAATTAATTTTTTGTGCCATTTTATTTTCTGATGTCCTTTTCTGGGCCTTTGTATTTTCCAGAGAAAATGGGAGAGGCAGCACTAGGGATTCTGCTTAGATGCCATGTTAGACCAAGAGTCCAAACAATAATTAATAAATAATTTATTTTCCATTTTTTGTTCATCAAAATACAATAAAAATAGCAACTCACACAGTTTTAAAAGGCTGAGATTTGTTGCTTTTGTTGGCTTGTTCAAGTTACAATGTGAGTACATACACCAGTTCATTATAATTTTGAAGCAGTTACATATGTTTCTTAGTCCTCCATTATTACTTTCAAAAGTCTGCTGTCAGGACACCGCAGCTCTAGCACTTTGCTCTTCTGCCTGCTCCTGTCCTGGGCATCTTTGGGGTGAGTGTGCGACACTTGTTATTGAAGGGCCAGGAAGCAGTGCCCCTCGAGTTCTCTGAGCCAGTCTTTGGAATAACAGATCAAAATAGCTGCCCAGGGCAGTCTTTGGGGATGGTTACTTCCAAAGAAGCCATAGTTCTCTTGTCTCTGGCAACCGTTTCTGGCTACGCAATTTAAGATCAAATGGTAAAATTATAATATAAAAAAATTCATCTCATTGATAAGTAACTGGAGTTTTTACAGCTGCAAAAAGAAGATTTCTTTTTATTATTTAAATAAATAATGTTAGTGTTATTTAATCTCTAATGAATCACAGAACTTAAATGTTGCTCACCTTTTTTATTTTTAACATGACTTGCTTTAAACATCTCTGAAGGTTACAGTGATTGGTTAGGGCTGAGTGAAGAGCGTGAGGCCCTGGTCGTGTAAGGGAAAGCGGAACTCTAAGACGTGGAATCAGCTGTGGGATTTGTGAACCTTTTTTGGATCTAGTTTACATGATAACTGTAGCAAAGGTCATATTATAGTTTTTAGTCTAAAATACGGTTTTCATCACGACTGTCCTTACAGTCTTAGCTAGTGATTCAGGAAGTAGAATTCATAAAGAGATCATAGTTACCTCCAATTTCAGGGCCATAGTGTAACTGCTGAAGTGACAGCTAAAGGAGGAAGACTGGTTTGCCATTCCTTCCTGGGCCAGCAAACATACGAGACACTTGGCTGAGTGTCCAGGCATTGGGAATGGAGAAGGGCATGTCAAATGGACTCAGCCAGAATTTGACCCCTGAAAGTATGCAGGGAGATAAGCAATAAAGGTAACTAATATAGTAAATAGCAGTGAAAGTGGAAGGAGCTAGAGATTCAAAGGAAAGAATATATCAGCTGGGAAAATCTGGAAGAGTTGGCTTTTGAGTTAGTTTTCAACAGGCATGGTGGATCAGGGAACATCTTGCCTTGGGGAGTAACATAACAAAGGCGCTGGCCCCACACAGGTACTTGTTGAATACCAGAATAAATGGAATTGGTAACTTTTGTTTTTCTGCTGGTTTACTCAGAGTGCTGTGTAAACGTCTCCTCTATAAGTGTGCCAGCTGGGATGGATGCTGGGAATATAATAAGATGCCCTTCATAGAGCTAGTCTGAGAGGAAAGACAGATAAAGCCAGCAAACTAATGGCCATGTAAATTCAAAGCGAGGGATGCTAGGCTAGTCAATAACTTTGAAGAGAGATGGTTGGGCAGGGCAGGCCTTTGAGGGAACAGAAGCTCCTGTGAAACTGATGTTTGTAAGAGCCACTTTGAGGTGTTTCCCCTGTTTGAGGTCTTTACCATTGTTGCTTTCCCAAGACATTTAATTTAGCTAAATTAGTCTCCCTTGAAACACAACTTACTTCTACTTTCCATCAGTATCTGCTTTACCCTTTTTTGAATTTTTTACCTTTTGTTAAATTTATCTTGTTGTCCTTGTTTGCAGAAACCGAAGCTGAAAGACTGGCACCCTCCTGGGGGTTTTATTCTGGGGTTGTGGGCACTCATCATCATGGTTTTCTTCAAAACTTACGGGATCAAGCACATGAAGTTCATTTTCTAGATGGGGCCATGTACAAGGAAAACTGCATGGAAGACTACATACAACCTTGGATAAAAATTTATGTCATATCTTTAAAAATATATATTGATCTTGTGTGAATTGGCAAAGAGTATAAGGAAACTGTAAGTTTGGTGAACTGTTATTTTTTAACTTAAAAATAATTGTTATCCTTTCACTGTTCCACACCTAAAACAAAAACAAACTAAGAGGACAGCTAGATCAGGAGCAGAACCATAGAAATGGAGATCACATGGAGGGTGAGCAACAGGGGAGTGGGAGAAAGAGAAGGGGGGAGAAGGTACAGAGAATAAGTAGCATAGATGGTAGGTAGAAAATAGGGGGGAGGGCAAGAATAGTAGGGGAAATATAGAATCTAAAGAACTTGAGACACGCGGTCATAAATTAAAGGGAATGGTGGGGGAGGGGTGTGCAGGGTGGAGGGGAATGAAGGGGGGAAATAGAACTGTAATGGCATAATCAATAAAATATATTTAAAAATAAAATATAAAAAAATAATTAATGCAAGTGCTAAATGTCAGTAAATATATTTGTTTTTCCTTCAGTGTGTTATTAAAAAGATGGTACGAAGAGATCAGAATATACTTATTGACTCTTTCTGAGAATAAGAATTTCGCATTTACCCCTTTTCATTTGGGAAAGAAAAAAAATGTGAAGACATTAAGTTCTCACCAGCAGCAGAAGTAACTTCTAATAGTATTTTTGTGTATGTTCTCCCAGTTTGCTTTTCTGTGTACTTATTTTCTTTCTAAAATAGAGGTTATATAAAACATACCATTCTGTAACCTCACTTTTCATCTTACAGCAAGTTATCAACCCTTTTCCTCTCCTTGGATATTCCTGGGGAGCACATCGGGAAAGGCTGCAGAGCACCTATTTTATGCATGTACTGTAATTTATTTAAGTGTTCTTTTGTTGGACCATGTACCTTGTTCCCCAGATTTTCCTTTCCTTCATTATTTACTGTGTGAATATTTTACTGTCAGTCACTAATGGAATTCTGTAGCTTTAAGTATAAGTAAGTATGAGACATTAGCTTATCTATTGTACTGACAGTCTTTAGGACCTTATTTGCTGTCAGTTTATCCGGAAAACTTTAAGACCTTTGGGAATTTCACGTACTGACTGCTCAAGAGAAACAGACCCTATCATTTTATTTTTCTAAGCATTCATTCATTCTCTGATCCTCCAGAATTGATCACTTTTGCTTTAGTTTCCATTGTCAAAGAGACATTTTTTAAAAATTCTGTTTAGGGTAAACCTTACCCTCTGCTGGATTCACCAGTTTTTTAAAAAATATTTATTTATTTTTAGAGAGGGGAAGGGAGGGAGGGAGGGAGAGAAACATCAATGTGTGGTTGCCTCTCATGCGCCCCCTACTAGGGACCTGGCTCACAACCCAAGCATGTGCCCTGAGTGGGAATTGAACCAGCAACCCTTTAGTTCCCAGGCCGGTGCTCAATCCACTGAACCACATTAGCCAGGGTGGATCTACAGTTTTCCTGAGACAGTCCCCTAAGGTGGATGGACTGGATGGAAAATACATGCTTTTTACATCTGACTGCTGTATCACATAAAGGCGGTCAATAAGCCCTTTTCCTGGAGCTGCAGATATTGTTTCTTCACAGAGAAGGGGGAAAACCCCTGAAATGTGCATATTTATGCCCCAGGAGATACCTTTTTGGATTTCATGTTTTATCTAAGGACTTAGGTGTAAATCTTTATTTGTTGCAAGGCCTGTTGTATAATTGTAAGTAACATTAAGAAGACAAATCTTCTACAATAAAAGCTCCTCAAATTAATATTCCTTAGGATTTGTCTTCCTTTTAGCATTTAATTATTACTCTTTAATTATATGTAAAGTGGTCATACTTTTTACAAGCAGAGGCTTAACTGTGTCATCTCCCAGGTTAGAACAAATGATATTGAGGCTTTCCACCAGCTCTGAATCTTCATTTTAATTGCACTTTGGTACACTAAGATAGATGAAGGAAAAATTTTTACCTGCTTATATGGAAAAGGATCCTCTGTACATAAACAAAAACAGACTTGAAGTCTAAGAGCCGCATTACACTGGTGCCGAGAGACAGAAAGGTTAACCATCTCACCGCGCAAACACACCAGGTCGCAAACACTGTGTGGGGCGGAGCTACTTAGAGGGCGAAGCTGTGACTGTTCTGGAACCAGGGTGTTTGAGTGTAATGACAGGTGCCTGGTGGTAAAGTCTGCTGCCAGGTGGAAGGGTTCCTCTCCCGAGGTTGTACAGGGTGCCCTTCCTGGTTAAAACCAAACCGGGAAAAGCGGTTCTGGATATATTATAATACACAGGATTAATTTTGCCCAGGTGGAGTGTCAAAGGACGGGTCTGTCTCTTTCTGGTTCATTATTGAATTCAGAAGATAGTTAAAGTAACAAGCTTAAGTATGTTCGATGTTTAGCTCATAACCGTAATCTTTTTACATAGAGTATATTCTGCCTTCAGTAATGAGTATGTCTTCTGCATATAGTAACTTGGTAATATTCTAAGTACAATTAAATGGCTTAGACTTTAAATGATAACGTAAAGGCACATCCTTAAATATATTCTACTTGAGTCACAAGGAGCTGAACAACCAAAAGGTCCTCTTTTCGTCTCTTTGTTGTGAGGATCAGGTAAATTATGTTCTGACCAACCCCTCTGGTAACTGTAAATGTACGGTGGTGGTGTTTTTCCCCTTTTTGCTCAGGAAGGTGCGAAGGGGGAAGGCATTTGCTCTATCGCCCCCTTCCTGTTGCACTGGTTACCTTTCTGAGCTGCTCGGTGTGGTTCTTGTCCCTTCAGTGGCCTTCCCCCTCCCTCTGGTATCCTCCAGGGAAAAAAGGAAGATAGAAAAATGGGTCCCAGCAGACATGTCCTGACCTTTGTGAGGAGGGACAGGGTGTATTGATGCCATTCTGCAAAGACAGCGAGCATGAGTTAAAGAAACCAAATGATGTGGATTTTAAAATTATGAAAGACATTCATTTGCAGTTTATGAAAGGCAAATGTAGTTTGGATGCAAAGCTGATTAAATTGGATCAAGGAAAATTTGAATTAAGTACATAAAATAATGCATGCATTTATGGTTTCAAATTTTATATATCCTCAGCTAGTCGAAACTGATGATTCCCACAACAAGCATAACTCAGCTTGTTCCTGCTTACTGGGTGTTTTCTACTGTGGTGTATGTGGGTAGCACTCCTTCCATTATGTATGTTGTGGAGCAGTTACAGTAACTGTGGGAATCATAATTTGAATTTTTGACTCATGTGTTTCTGGAATCTTTACAACAAATGTTGCATTAACATAGAACTTTTTTCATTGATTTCTACCAAAATTAAATCCATCTGTAACATACTGTTTTAACTTGTGAAAGAAATATTTTATAAACATAGCACAAGGTATGGCTAAAATGAGATCAGTTATCCATTTTTGCTCTGTGGAATCAGCTTCATTACCTCATTGCCACGTCTCCTGCCCTGGGCATTTATCCCAAAGGAAGTGCCTCTGGCGTCTTGTCTGTTGCCACCTGCCCTACCTGCATGTGTACCTGCTGCGTAAATGTAAGGGGTGTTTCAGTTCATGGACAGTATGCGTTGGGAGTAACCGGACTTGTTTTTTCTTTCAGTGCAGAATTTTTACTCTTTTGGAAATATGCTATGAAGTATTTGGCTTAACTTAACTGTGTAGGCTTTTGAATAATGAGATTGAAGAGATGAAGGTGTGACCAAGAAACCAGTTATTAAGAATTCATTTATTTCAAACATGGCAAGGTGGTCCCTGTCATTCTTGTTTCATTGGGTTGCCTGCAGCCCCAGGGACTTCAGAGGACTTTCAGATTTGCCTGAGGAATACCCAGTCGCGGGGCCTGCTGGGAGTGGTGGAGGGGGCTGTACAGTATGGCGATTTTCTGTACCGATAGCAGTGCTCTGCCAAATCCGATGGAATTTCTCTGCCTGTATTTTACCTATCTGTCCTTCACAGGTAACATCGGTTACTCCCACTTGCAGAAACACTTCCTCCTCTGCCCTCGTGGTGCTGCCCTGGCCCAGCCGTTCTCCCTTAGACCCTCCGTTCAGTTTTCTCCAAGTGCTTCTGTGACAGCTGCTTCAGGTGTTGCTCACAGTTCTGTCCTCAACTCTTCAAATCCACTCCCTCACTGAGTGTTCCCTCCCCACCCGTGGTTTCCACTATTACCTCTACATCATTTGCTGCCACACTTCTGTATCTTAGTAGCTCTCTTGAGTTCCAGAAGTGCCCTTTTGTGCTTGAAAGCCCCACAGAACTCTCAAACTCAGCGTACCCCAAACCGAACTTATCATCTTTCCTTTTCACCTCATTACCCAGCTCTTCCTTCTCTATTTTCTGTTTCTTATTTTATATTCTGAATCTTCTCTGAATGGGTACACACTGTGTAGATTTCTGTGCCGCACATAAATGCTCACCGTGGTATTCTGCAGATGAAGCCTTTAATAATCAGGTGGGCAAAATGATGCACTCTGTGGATGTCAGTTAGCTTCTTTCCCAGCCATCCCAGGGCTTGCTTGATGGGTCCATGAAAATGGTGGTTATAGTGGCAAGGAGGAAGACTGTATGAGCACAACAGGTTGGGTTTCTTCTTAACAAGGCTGATCGGGCTGATGCCACTGCTGAGTGTCTAGTTTAGCAGCAACAGAGCTACATTAAAACTCAGCTGCTAACTGGGTTGGTGCCTCCATTCCCCAGGGGCCCAGTCTGCTGACTGGTAGTAGGTTGATTACATTAACCATCACAGATAGAGTGAGCAGGAGTGTGTCTGCACTGAAATACGCATATTCTGGGTACGGATCTCTATTCCCTGCTCTTTAAACTTCTGCCAGCATCACCTTCTATGGGCTCGCAGAAATACTTATCCGTTGTCTTGGCATCCTGCAAAGTATTGAGTCTGATCAAGGAACTCATTTCACAGCAAGGCAATGAGGTTATGCCCATGGAATCTACCAAATGTATCACATACGCCCTATCTGGAACCGGCTGGCCTAATTCCACACAGAAGGCTTACTGAAGACGCAGGTATGCCCCTGGCTGGGAGACAATATTCCAAAAAGAGGAAGTCTTCTTTCACAAGGTGTGGTATAGGCTTCGTGGGGTGTTCTCCCCCCCAGGTGACCATAATCACTATGAGCCACAACTGCCTTAGAGTGCGACCAGGTCACTTACGAGACTGAAATTCCTCCTACCCAGTAACTGTGGCATTCATAAACTACCATGTCTATAGATTTGCCATAGCACTAAAGCCTAAAAGTAGAAAGGATTCTTTGGAAATTCTAGAGGTGCAAATTAGCCTCATGTTAAAAACAAAACAACTGTAATGAGGCTGCTAGTAGGCAAGGGAAAGGGTCTGGCCATTACCTGGTGCTGTTCCTCACTCCCTGCCTACCCCTTGCCCCGCTCCCCCAGCCAGATGCACAGATCTGGGAACAAGGAGTAGAAACTGAAGTGGCTCCTCATTGTTACATCTAACAGTTTATTCACAGAATCTTTGCTTCCTGTCTTGGCACCTTTGAGCTTTGCTGGTGTAGAGAGGAATGATTTCCTCAGGGGACACAACAGTGGTTCCATTGAATTTGAGGAGAAAATTGCCACATGGCTATTTTGAGCTTGTTATATCACTGAACCAACATGCCACAAATTAGGAATCGTGATACTGGCTGGAGAGATTGATCCCAGGTACCAAAGGGAAACTGAGTAGCCGCTGCACGTTGAAGGCAAGGAGAACTGGGCAGCAAGGGGAGTCCCTAAGGTGCCCCTTACTAGTTCCATAACCACAGCAAAGGTTAACGGAAAACTAACAATCCAACAAAGGCAGGATGATTGAAGACTGACTGTTTGGAATGAAGGCTTAGCACTCCACCAGATAAAGAAGTTTGACTAACTCAGCTTCTGCCTGAGAGCAAGGGGAATGTGCAAGAGGTAGAGGGAAGTAGGAAGGCATGGATAACCATCTACATGGCTCGTGGCCAACGACTGAAATGAGCTGGCTTCACGTATTTTCCTGGCCTGTTACGCGTTTATGTGTGTGTGTGTGTGTGCTGGTTCTCTTTTTCCCGCTTTTATTTAGGAGATGCCAGTTGGTGGTGCTTAAGCTTACAATACAGTCTTTACGTAGGAAAATATTCCTGGGACTCTGATGGAACTGGAGGAATAATTATCATAGCTAGCATACCGTAACAGTCGGGACTGTGCATCTTATTTCAACGAAGGATGAGAGTTTCTTGTAAGGTGAATGGCAGCCTCATGTTTGATGA